TCCAACAGCAACTCAACGTTACAGCATGTCAGCCTGGAAACAACAAAGTAAAGCGTAGATCACAATTACTGAGGTATTATGAAGTTATTAATGTCCCTACACCTCCTAACACGGTAGCCCATCTTGTTTTTTTGTCATGAAAAGCACTATTGAAAAAAGAAATTTAACATGTATTGGAAGTAAAGCCTGACTAATACATTGCTATGTCTTAGTATTAATATAATCAGCATATATATCAACCAAAAAGAGGCTGCAATACAGGAATGTCAAAATTATGTTTGAGAAACATTTAAAAAACGTTTTGTCTACCATAGAGCACTGACAGTTCAGTTTACATAATAGAAGAACCTACTCACTTTGTCACAATTCTTAAACAAAAATCTAATTAAAAAAGTTTGTTTATTTTGTGTTAGTGTTTAAAAATAAACAATAAACATTTTATATTTTGACAATGATTGAATGAAATAATTATATGAATGGATGAACTGATCCAATATATTGTCTGAGGGATTCTTTGTAGCTGTCAAACAAGAAAAACTCGTTTATGTTCTTATGATCTAAAAATGGCTAATCACAAAATGTTTTTTTTTACCTATTTTGTGGATTCTGACTTTTCATGGTGATGTGTATATACAGAAAGTGGGTGCTGCATGCACTTTGCAGGAGTGTGAAAAAAGTTGAAAACTTTCATACATTTTATTGATTTCTGAGGTGTATCTGTGTTTGTGTAGCCTGTGTAATAATCATATGGGCATCATTATTAGAAATGTTCTGAGTTATAAGCTACAGTAGGCTAAGCACTGTAATGATAATGAATCAACAACACCTGGGGAAGTATCAACTTCACTGTTAAAAAAGCTTATACCCAGAGATTTATATTTATAAAATAATCTCCACACTTTGCCTAGTTTACACAGTCATTCCTAGTGTGGATCTGCATGTGATCATGATGCTGCCAATTGACTCCCTCCACCACTGATGATGATGAGCAGTACTGGGGTTAAGGCGATCAAAGACGCTGGGTGTCAAAGAGTCAATTGGGGAAACATTATCTCCACAGTATCAAAGTATAACTGACCAAATCCTTGCTCTCATGAGGTGTGCATACTACATTTCAGGTTGTGCATGTGCATGGCAGACAAACGGCACATAACAAAATAACCAAAAAAAATTTGTTTATTTGAAAACAGTTTTAAACACAAAGATAATTCTTATTTGTTTTATAGTTTTCCAGACTGAATTAAATAATTGAATGGATGAACACTGACCAAACAACATAACCACATAAGAGTTTTCTAAATCTTAAAGGACTTGTACAGCTACACAGTTGATCAGCATGAAATTGGGTGCTGCTGTGGAAAGTAGCCTACTCAGGCTTGAGGGCTAAATTATTAAAGATGGCAGTTGATAAGCTCAGACGTTACTGGTTCTTTAATCAGTACTTTTTAAGGGTTAGTGTAATTTGTTACCACACTGAAGAAAGCGATATTTTAATCTGCTCTGTCTGCAGTCTCTCATCCTCTACGTTTACACAGCACAGCACACTAGTGCGGTTAACAGCAATGTCTCAGACAAGCTAAATGAAAGTTTTCTGTCTGTTGTCTAACTGTTTAGGGTAGTTTGACATTTCTTAATGCTGGACATGCTGGCTGAGACAAACCAGCTGCTCCTTTCTCTACAAGTGGAACCTGTAGGCAGTGAATCACAGTAGCAATTATAGCTATTGTTATATTTGAAACATTAATTTCTAATCCTGTTCTGTATTAATTCTTTTTTAAATACTGTTTAAAAAAAACCCCAATTATTTAGTAAAAGTAACGTAAAAGTAAAAAGGAGTATCGGTAAGAGTAGTAAGAAGAAATAAGAAAGATCAGAAGTTTAAAAAGTACTGATAATAAAGAAAAGACAGACGGGAAAAGGAGAAACAGAAGAAACTAGTGAAGTGGGAAAGTACTGTAGGACTGAAAGAAACAAAAGCGGAGAGAAAAAAAACAAATAAACTTTGGTTGAAATCTGTACAATTCTTTAAGGTCATTGTTGAGTTGAAACCAACATGGCTGTTATTTAGAGAGAGTAACTCCTGTCAGATAAATGTAATCCAGTAAAAAGAAAATATTTGTCCCTGAGCTGTAGTAACATAAAATTCTCATAAAAAGGAAACTGTCAAAGTAGCTGAACAACTGCATTTAGACTGCATTCATATAGAACCTTTCTATCTTAACGGACAAAGCGCTTTACTACTTCATCCATTCACACACACACACACACACTTAGCAGTAACTCTGGGTTCAGTCTTGCCCTGGGATTAGGGCAAGACTGAACCACAGTTGGACATCTGAGCCACATGTGCTCATTTCCCATACCTTTTCCACTTTGTTGCCTTGGATCTCATTGAGTTTGAACTTGTAGCCGTGGTCATGGTGCTCGTTGATGTGAAACATTGCCAGACGTGCCATTGCAGCACGACTATCTTCGCTACATGTTACAGGCTCCAAAACTGGAGCAGCGCTACTTAGCAACACCGCTGAGTACAGCAACACCAGGATGGGTAATTCCTTCATAGTGCAGAGCAGAGAGAAGAAGCAGACTCCTGCAGCCAGTGAGCCTATATAGATATGGATGGGTTAACAGACTAGAGAGGGAAGGAGAGAGAGTGGCAAACAGGAGGAGAGATAAAGGACAAATGAGATAAGAGATGTAGTACGAGGACAGGACCACAGAGCTGCCAAATAACAAACAGAGACTTCAACCAGATCAGTGCAGCTTATTTCAAATGTTCAGTTTCAATCCGTCGGTTGCATCACAGTTTAATGACATTTCTGGTGAACATAATCATTTTGGCTATGACATGATCTCAAAATATAGGCCAACCTCGTTCATGACTTTGCTGCATTGAATTGTAGTTGCAACATACCAATATACCATGTGGATTCCACCATGGTCGATCAGCGTTTCCAATTCTATTTGTGACTTTCATGGACAAAATCAAACACAAAAAATGGTGGATTGCACACTCTGGATTAGGAGTAAATTGCTGCCCAAAGTAAAGACATCCGAACGGCTTTACTCAAAGTTCAAATAAATAAAATTATATGACAAAGTATTTCTCTTTTTTCAGTATCAAAAAGGATGAGCGAATTTTAAAAATTTGATTTTTATTTTCTATTTTCAATAACACAAAATAAGATCACCAGAAAACAGAAACGCATAAAGGCCCGTTTGTTCATATTCCCAGACCGGATGTGGTCATTTCCATGACAAGAGTGCCAATTTGACAGGGTGACGGTGTTGCTTTAGCCCAGACTAAAATGTCTTTAGAACCCTACTCATGTTTAAGTAGGCTACTAACATAAATATTACCCATCAACATCTTGTAAACAACACTGTGTTAAATGGCGGCTTGGTTGTGAAGGGAACAAGTAAAATACGGACATGGTCTTGGTTAACACAGACAGTGTGGTCACAAGTTGATCTGCTGTTTCCCGTTTTAAAGAGTGATGGCTGGCTGTTTGCTCTTGAAGTTGTTTTATGCTATGCTGACAGAAGGGAAAGAGGTGATGATGCCGTAGGCCACTGGATTCCTCACCTGTTTATTTTCCCACATTGATCTGAGTTTGAATCCAGTGTTAAAAATGCTTTTTATTTTTCCTAAAAGGCTGATCCATATTTGTATAGCGCCTTTCTGGCCACTTAAAGCACTTTTACACTACATCCACACACTGAGCCTAAGTGCTCGAACAGAAACTAAAATTCACACGCTGGCGGAACAGCCGCCAGGGGAAATTGAGGGTTCTTGCCAAGGACACTTCAACATGCAGCCTAGGGGACTAGAACCGTGGATTGAACCGCCGACCTTCCGATTAACAGGCAACCTGCGCTACTTCCTGAGCCACAGCCGCTCCATGGTGTTTGACATTTATTAAAGATAACGTTAGACATTCACAGGAAGAGAAACATTTACTGTAACAACAAGCCACTTTGTGACAAAGTGGTACATGACAGGTTTTCATGCATTGCATGCACCTCCAAATACTGCTTTTAAACACTATAATATTCTTTGTGGGGTTCATCAATGGTGATAAATAATTTGAAGTATATATGAACGTGAAAGAGTCTTTAATATTTTAATAAACTTAGTAGACGTACCATTCCTTGACATTCAGTAAATGTATATGTGGTGATAAAGGTTCCATAATTCGGCAGATCAAATTTTGTAGGCTATCTGCCGAGATTTGCATCCACATAAATGACCGTTATCACTCGCGAGGTGGATGCAATTCTCGGCAGGCAGGCTGAACAACACCGGCAATATTTCTCTCCAACGTGCGCTCACTGTGCAACAAACTGGATGAACTTCAGCTTCTGGTGGGGAAAAACAGAGACTTTTATTCATGCTACTTGATCATATGATACTAGTCAAAGTTAATAAGTTACCGTTAGATTCCTAGTACATTAAGTTATAGATGATGGTAATGTTTGCCATTTAGAGTACAAAACGTAACTTTAACTTTTGTTGCCACTATTCTCCACACCGCTTGATTTTTTATTTGAGTTATGTTGCTGCTATCAACAGCGCTGTGTGAGATTATTGTCTTGAATATGACTGTTGAGAAAGAAAGGCACTTTTTAAAAAATTTGTTACAAGATGTTTATTTCTTTCAGTGATCGGTTCTTGTTGTTCTGATGCCTCCATGTCTGCTACACACAACTTAAACTGTAAGTACTGACGTTAGTCTTGGCTACTTGACATTTGAAAGTTGATATTACATTGTATGTCTTCAAAGGACAACACAAAAATATACTGTTGGCTATTGTTATTGACTGTCATTTTAAGGTGTTGCTCCCTTGTTCCATTTCTCCAACATCTGACATAATAGTATTGTAAACTCAGCCATCTTTTAGAGGTGCAGCTAAAAAAAGAATATGATGGGGAAAGTTCATTGTGAGCAGCAGAACCAGACTCAGAGCTTAAAGGCTCAGGAAGCATTTGCTGGTGTTTTGAGTTAATATGCTGTTTAGAGAGCTTTTTTTCAGGTTGACATTTCTATATTATAAGTTACTTTTTATAAAATTCTAATACATTTTAAGATACTAGAGCTTTGATTACTGTGAGCAGTAAGCCAATATCATCAAGATTAAAACAAAAAAGGACTTAAAATAATTCACTTTGTGTAATGAATCTAGGATACATCATACTGAAGAAAATTAACTTTTCCAGATATCCTGTTTTTTTAAAGACACATTGCTATAGTTTACTTCATATTTTTCATTACCTGCAGCATTTATTACACATTTAGTTTGCTCACATAGTCAAAGTGTGGATCACATGAGACCTGGTGCCCAGAGACCTGTCAAGTATTCTCAGTGTGGAGGAGGCCTATATCTGCTGGGTTGGACTGAGATGGAAAGAACTTATCCCCTTTTGTTTACTTTTAGTTTTAAATATTGTCCATATGTGTTATGTCCATTTTAATGCCTTTTGCCTGTGCTGCTGACTGAAAATGTTAGATTTCACATTATGTATGTCAAAACAAAGGACAAGCTAATCATACAAAACAGATAATGCATCAGATATTAAAACTGAACTAACTAGGTGTTGTCATTTATTGTGTCAATGCAATATCAAATGCAAGTGCTAAACGAACACACATGTGGTAAACAGATTGCAATAAATGACACCTTCTTGGCTTCAAAACTATTCAGAGTGCAGATAATTATTTTTTAGAATATCACATTTGTCTCTTGAAGAAATGTCCAAATAAAATCAGTATAGAACAGCTTTTCTTTTTTTACTTGCTAACATAAATGCAAAATGTTAAATTATAAACACCATCAATATTATATCTATTAACTATAGTTAAGTTTAGATCACACGATTTACAATTAACGTAGGAAACTGATGAATGAATGAAGAATGTGATTTATTTTTAATATATTTAGTCTGATCAATTTTATACCAAACATTATTCCTAACACACAAGCAATAGTTTAACAATTTAAAATTATATCTTTCATGAAAACATCAATATATAAAAGTTACAAATGGAAAAGTAGTTTTGTATGACTTGTTGTTGTAACAGTTATTATAATGATTTGTTTGACATCAGTAGTGTTCAGGTGTTGTGGAGTAGAAGTTAAAAGAAAAAGCTAAACAAAGCAGTAAAGTGCTGGAAGAGCCACGCTGGAAGCTGCGACTGTTATTTCCTGTAGAACTGGATGGTGCTTCATCTGGATTGGTTCTGCAATCAGCAGCGCTGGCAAATGAAAGACAAGATGGGTACAGAGTTACTGACAGTACACAGTTTTTTCCCAGCTGCCATAAACATACTGAACGTCGAGAGCGCCTTGTGAGATCGCTTCCGCATTGTAACGATCCGTCTTAGTAAGGACATGTAAAAGTGAATCTGCCCTTCGTTTTTATTGATCCCGTCGACCATTTCCGGCGGTAGAGATGCGTTGGAATGACGCACGAAAAGAGGGTTTTCCTACCAGTGGGTGTGCGATTGCATCTAGACTATGGTGGCTGTGGCTGATAGCTGATAATTAGTGTCTACGGACGGAGTTGCATCGTGTCGTTGTAGACCGCACACAGCGGTAGAATGCATGAAGTCGGCGTAGCTAGTTGCGTTGTTGATTCTTATTTTTCTACTGTTGTTAATATACATATATCTTTGTAATGGGCATTCTCTTGTGTTTGTGTGTGCGTGACGACTATATGGCACCCTATAAAGCAAACAAATAACGAAAATAGTTGCACGTGAAACCGTTACAGCATGATAACCTCTCTGGCATGCAGCAATAATTAGGGTGGTAATGTGAAATGCGCTGTTTATTCATATGTGCAATATTAATCTTGCTGCTGGACACTGTGGATTAATAATCTATACTGAAAGGCAATGTGCAGTAATGTATGCTGCTATGGTCCATTTGACCACTCAAGTCAGCTCTATATAGATTTATTATTAAGATCTTATTTTATATTTTTCATTGAACTGTACTGCTTGACATACATTTTTTATTATCACAAATTCTAATCCCCCAAACAGTTCAACAGTTCTGCAGAGTTCTGCTTGCAGCTTGCGGGAGATAACACTCATATTTACTAACAAAAAAGGTGAATGCAAATTTCGGCAGGTAGCCTACAACATCTCTTCTTCCGAATAATGAATCCATGTCTTAAAATCCTTTTCAGTGAAGAGTTTGATTTTCCTGTTGAGTTTGAATAATGTGCTTTGCAAAATCTGTGCGTTTATCACTGCATATTTTTTGCTGAATCTCAAGTAACGCTCTTCTAAGTGTAATAAATGATTGTATCTGACTAGTATCTGAACTGAACAGTCACTCCGTTTAAGTACGAAGCCAAATCTAACATTGCCCGTTTGGAAAGTTTAATGTTAACATCACGGGGGAGACCCTGGACTAGGTGGAGAGATTATATCTCCACGTTGGCCTGGGAACGCCTCGGGATCCCTCAGTCAGAGCTGGTTAATGTGGCTCGGGAAAGAGAAGTTTGGGGTCCCCTGCTGGAGCTGCTGCCCCTGCGACCTGAACCCGGATAAGCTGATGAAGATGGATGGATTATATTTTTAGTGCATCATATATATATATATGAATAATATATGAAGAAATGGCTGATATCAAGAAATCCTACCAGTGGCTGGAAAAGGCAGGACTGAAGGACAGCACAGAAGCACTAATCATGGCTGAACAAGAACAGGCACTCAGTACAAGATCAATAGAGGCTGGGGTCTACCACACCAGGCAGGACCCCAGGTGCAGACTTTGCAAGGATGCCCCTGAGACAATACAGCACATAACAGCAGGGTGTAAGATGCAGGCAGGAAGTGCGTACATGGAACGCCATAACCAGGTAGCTGGCATAGTGTGCAGGAACATCTGCCCTGAGTATGGGCTGGAAGTCCCAAGGTCAAAATGGAAGACACCTCCTAAGGTAGTTGAGATTGACCGAGCTAAGATCCTGTGGGACTTCAAGATCCAGACTGACAAACTGGTAATAGCCAGCCAACCAGACATCGTGTTGATCGACAAACAGCAGAAGAAGGCTGCAGGGATGGATGTGGCAATCCCAAGCGACAGCAACATCAAGAAGAAGGAGCACGAGAAGCTTGAGAAATACCGACGGCTGAAAGAGGAGCTAGAAAAGATGTGGAAAGTAAGAGCAACAGTGGTGCCAGTGGTAATCGGAGCACTGGGGGCTGTGACCCCCAAACTGGGAGAGTGGCTACAACAGATTCCAGGTAAAACATCAGAGGTCTCTGTCCAGAAGACTTGCAGTCCTAGGAACAGCTAAGATACTGCGCAGAACCTGTCTGTCTCAGTGACTGAGCACTTTAAGTTATGCAGCTGAAGCTGATTAGCTAATTAAATCATTTTAACTGCGCATTCATGTGTTGTCAGAATAATCTGAAAAATATTTCCCAAAAATTTACGTGAGCGCCCCCTGAAGTCGGAAACAATGACTTGGAAAGTCTGAGAAAACTTTGGTAAACAAGTTGCCAAGTTGGTGACGTCATACAGAAACACTACCAAAATTGTTGGTAGTTAGAAAATCATGTACTGCATATACATTTTTTGCTAACATGTCATTTGTAACATGGTTTTAGGTTATAACGGTTAGTTTGCAGTCCATGACACAGATTGATTTAGTTAAGTTTTAAGTAATTAAGTTATTTATTAGCAGTTTTTGCAGTGCAAGCAATATTTTAGTGGTTTCAGGTAATGTACTGGTGCAGTAACAACTCTGGGACTAAAAATCACTAAAAAGCTTCAAACAGCCCACTTTGATGACAATCCAACACATCTCAGTAGTTTCATCCATGTTGTTTCCACATTCCAACTTAAAAGTATATGAACACACTGAAGTCGGAAAACAACTTCACAACTCCGAACAAGGGTTTTGTAGTAACGGATTACATGTAATGGCATTATATATTCAGGATTTAAAAAAACTAACTGTATTCCGTTACAGTACAGAAAAAATAGATGTAATCACATTACATTAAAATCTGGGATTCCATGAAACAGAAAATGCAGTGCTATTTGCGTCTGTATGTGTTTTTTTATATACAGTCTATGGTATATGTACGTGTTACTAGGGCCCCGAATAGTCGAAGATTTGATGGGCAGAGACTGATTCAAGTGTCAATCTCACAGTCGAAGCTTCACAGTGAACACAGCTTCACAGTGAAACTTTACAGTGAAACACTCCACGTCTGATTTTACATAGAACTACCAGTTTTCTCCCAGTAAGTTAATATACTGCCTATTAAAATATACATTTCAACGTTTAATGCTGTAAATAAACATGTAAAAACAGTAAAACTTTCAATAAATGTGTTGTGTGTAAATGTGTGTAAATCCAAAATTGTAACCCTATCCCTGAGTCGTCAGTGCGCATGTGTAAGCGTAGCGTGTACGTGTGCAGTGGCAGTGGAGGAACGCTTGCTGAAGAGACCGAGCCCCAGCTTCACGGTGTTGTGCCGAGTTGTTCGCACCTCGCGAGACCTTCGGATAATTTATCACCACTGATAAACCACATAAAGAATATTTTATCATTTTTAAATAGCCGGCTACTTGAAATAAACCCGCGGGGAACCGCGACGTGCATGTAGTTGAGGACAACAGTAATGCACGTAAAACTCTGTACAAGACAGGTGAATGACAGGCGAGAGAGAGAGAGAGAGAGCTATTACAAACTAATCTTGTAAATATGATATTACAAGATTAATCTGATCAAAACCAATCAATTTAGCAGTTATAATTTACAAAAACAAAAATACAGATAAAACGTAAACTACAAATAAAAGTGAACAAGATGTAACCTGCCATGCAGTGAACGTTAAGTGCAACAGTTCGCTGAGTCACTCGCTGTCCCTCAGGTTGTGACACAGATGCTGTGTCCGAAATCACCCACTACTCACTATATAGTGAGCTCGCCATTCTGTAGTGCTGTCCGAATGTATAGTGATTATTATTATACCCTATATAGTTCACTCAGTGCATCCCAGAATGCACTTTGAAAAGTGGTGTACAACTGATGGTCACTAACCATCCCATCCCAGAATGCACTTTGAAAAGTGGTGTACAACTGATGGTCACTAACCAAGCATCATGCATTGCGCTGATGGTATATACCGAAAGTGTTGTTTTGATAATGCGAGTGAGCTCACTATAGAGTGCTCTACATACAACTCCCTACATAGGGGGTAGAGAGTTGTGAATGAGTGGGGATTTCGGACACAGCCAGGGACACTTACTTTGTCCTTCTGCTAGGATTATTCTTTATTGTTATTTTCAAGTTCTTTAAAATCCAGCATTAATAGATGAAATTTCTCAAAATATTGCTCTCTTATGCTTATTACATTTCAGAAGAAAATGTGTCGTCTCCACCTCACCTGTCGTACAGTGTTCTCAGACTCTATATCCTTTTGGTAACCAGGGGCCGTATTACAGGAAGTTCCTATCTCAAGTCTTAATTTCAGACAGGAAGAGTCTAAGATAGGATTTTTCACAATTTGGTGTTACAGAAGCAAATCCTAACTAACTTTAGGAATCCTGTCTTATCTCAGGTTAGGAAATCCTAAATAGTCAATCCAACATCGCTTATCAACTTTGTCCGTTACCTAGCAACCGATGCCACTTTTCTCATCTCGCCGAGCTAAACGGCTTTTTAATCGCTGTTTTTTAAATCAAACATACACTGAAATGGAGCAGAAACAACAACTATCATTGGACTTCATGTCAGATGACTTAGAGGTGTTTGTAACCTCCATCGAGAAATCCAAATCCACATAACGCTTAGCTGGGGAGATTAAAGACAGAGAGTGGGCTAAGATAGTGGACACAGTCTCTGCTGTCAAAAAGAACATAAGTCCATTTAAAAGTGATATTGTTATGACCCGCGAGGTCTGTGTGTTGTGCTTGTGTTGCTGTGGGTGTGTCTGTCTCTCTTCTGCAGGTGTGGTTCGTAGGATGTGATCTGCTGGGTGCCGATCCAAACTTCTCGCGGCGTGAATTCGGTGACTCTGTGGAGGCAGCTGTTGGTCTGGTGTTCTCGATCAGCTCGAAGCCAGTGTGGTGAGCGTGGGTGACCTCCACGTGTGCTTCCCCAGCGTGGTGGGAGCCGTGGAGACTGTGTGGCCTATTGTGTTGCATATCTTGTGTTATTTAATTTACTTAATATAATTCACATCGTCTCTGGTGTGGGCAGAGATTGTTTTTAGTTGATTAAATGCCTTTTTGTTACTTTGATTGGAATAAATACATTAACTTGACACGTGTTTTGAGTCATCCTTGGTTTTTCCACCCGGTTATTTATCCCTTTGTTCGTCCCACACCCCTAGACAATAGTGTTGTGTCGTTCAATGAACGTTTCGTTCATAAGACCTAATCGTGTGTATGACTCGGGAGGAACGGGTAGTATCAGTGAGTAATTGGTTCATTTTCACGCATGCGTGAAGGATCTTGGACTCTTAGATTCGCTCGTCACATGGCAGCTGCATGGGCACCGTCAGCACAGGAAACAGACATTGATTAGTTCACGACTCATAGCAACTGTGGGTCTCTAGGTGTGAGTCGTTCATTTGTCACATGACAGCTCCTACTGTGGAGCAGGAATAAACTACTCGTTCAGCGCTCACATGGGTCCTCCTCAGTCTCTCGTTCACTCGGCAGGCTGAGTGACTGCCAGCGCCAGAGAATGAGAGGCAGCTATTTTGTTAATTATGTGACATTTTATAAAGCATAACGTTATTACAGCGTAGTGATGTTGTGCTAAGTTATAGTTTTAACACAGCCGTACTGTAACTTCAGTCCTGCTGGTGTTTAACATTACAGCTAACAGCTGATGAGAGTTGAGAGTGGTCCGCTCCACTTCAGAGCCCTGACAGGGGTCTACCGGGAGCCGAATTACCTCAGAGGTCGTCCTTGCTCCAAAACAAACAGACCCGGTCATTAAAACATTAAAATACAGCCACGTAGCAACGTTAGTGTTAGCCCTGTAAACAGCTAACAGCTGATCCAGGTCCGCCAGAGAACGCAACTTAACTTTTCCTTTTTATTTACCAACAGAGCCGTGCTGTTGTTTCACAGCTCGTAACTGGTGAACAACCTGACAGTGTTTGAGAGCGATGTGCTCATGTTTGTTTCTCTGTCTGCAGAATCCGGACCTGATGTGGCCCATTCTGCATCCATAACTGCCAAACTGCTGCATTTATATAATGTGTTAAGATTTCTTTGTTCCTCTCTCTGTGCTGGAGTTCTTTAAGAACTTGGTGGCTTGATCCAGACTATTATTAAATTGGTTGAATTTTAATAAGAGTGTGTTTATTCATATAGTGTATCAAGCTTATTACTTCAATATATTTACTGCAAATCTGATATTAATATTTTACTCATGGATAGGGACGTTAGGCTACTGTAGGAATGAGCGCTTTAGAGATAATGATAGTAATTCCATACATAAGCCTTTATATGGCTGGTCTGGTTGTATACTCAGAAATATTGTGAAAATGGAAGGATTTAGGCGGAGTAGTGGTGATTACATATTGACAACATGTTTCTGTGGTTTTTACATGGTTTGAATTTGGTTGTGGGCCCAAGGGGGCTTTATATAATGATGATATACAGTAATCAAGAGTCTATGAAGATTCTCAGTCATCCAGGTCATAGTTATCCAACGAGGGTTAAAATGAAGGGCAACTGGACTTGGTTGAAGCTACTGGAAGACGTTTCGTCCCTTATCCAAAGGACTGAACTGAAGAAGTCCTTTGGATAAGGGACGAAACGTCTTCCAGTAGCTTCAACCAAGTCCAGTTGCCCTTCATTTTAACCCTCGTTGTAATCAAGAGGTGAATTTGTGCATTATACTATATCTTATACTACACATATTATAAAGCAAGCCAGGCAGCCTTCCGTGTTTGAGAACAAAAACGTTGTTTTTTAATCGCCCACTAGAGGGCTGCAGCGCCACAGTAACAACCTAGTTCAAATGAACGAAATTACTCTAAAAAAGAATAGTTCATTTTAATGAACGAGATTTGAAGATTCGAGTCTGTCAAAAGAGTCGAACTTGTCATCACTACTAGACAAGCCGGGGACGTAACAGATACGAAGAGAAAGGCAGCTGTTGTGTAAAAATAGCAGAAGAAAACCACTGGTGGCTCCTCCTGTGCTCCCTCACTGACCCCGGCAGAAACCCGTACTCTTCTAGTTAATAATGAAGATAAAAATAATAATAATAATAAAGGCTGCGGGCTAACGCCTTCATGTTTTTCATGTATTTCTTGAATTTAACAATCTCCTTCTATCAAAGACGAGGGTTTTGTCATCAAACACATCCGTAGAATCAATTAATAAGTTCCGCCTGTTGACATTTTGTTGATTGTGTAAAAGCAATAAAAGAGCAGCCATGTGGATTAAACAAGTTAGCAAACACTACCTGGTGGAAAAGTAAAGACAGCTTAACATTTATCCTAAAGTTAGGAGAGTTTATTTATAAGATGTGTGCTATGATAAACCTATTTACTACTAAATATATTATTATAGCTCCCATATTCTACTACTATAGACTCTCCGTAATAGTTGACTAAACTGTTTTTTGATGAGAAAAGTCTTAGTCGACCAACCAAAACCTAAATTCACAGACTCCATTCGGGAGCTGTCCAATGTCACCGGGTTGAAAATATCAGTGGATTGCTGAAGCACAGACCTTTTGTCTTGTAATACAGATGTTGTTATTCCTGTCTTTGTGGAGGACTCGACACACCATGCTCAGCTTCTCTAGGTCAGTGGTTTTCAAACTTTTTCATATATTCATATATGAGTCATATTCTGTCATTGTGTTGGATGGAATTAAAACGAAAATAAATTATTCTCTTTTTCGCTAGGGACCCACGGTAACCCCATCAAGGACCTCTGACCACACTTTGAGAACCACTGCTCTAGGTACTGCTGTTCAGCTTCCAATTCTGCCAGTTTTATATTTCAGCTGCCAGGTTTTTCAGTAGTTCAGTTAATGCATTTGAGCTTCAAGATTCTTCAGGCAATTCATTTCACTTTTCTGTATTTCCAGCAATGCTGTCAAAATAAAGTTTGTTCGCATTTTCTGCACTTTCTGCAATGTGTTGTCGGAGAACTAGAAAAGCTCTACAAGTACACTCCATTGACCATCTTACTGCAATATAAAATAGATACCCTGATATCATTGAGATAATGAAGCATCTCAGAAGCTGGATGTGGCATCTACATTTATACAGTACTGCATATATTGTTTTGAACAATGACACATTGACTTACTGATGGAAGTACTGAAGTGTGTTTGGACTGTGATGTAAACCGTTTGGTTTAGGACAAAAAATGAACAAACTACAGTACATAGTCAGTGACTGGGAATCTTTAAATTAGTATTGAATATATTAAATATAAGCAGGGGGCCTAGTATACAGGTCCGTCATGTGTGGAGGGCCCGATAAGATTAGATTTTCTTTTAGCTTGTTGGCTAATCTTCTAATAGCCCATATTAAAAACATTTCAGCATTCAATAATTCATAAATAATTTATCATTTAAAGCATACTTGGATACACACACATATAACATACACACATACTGTAATGCACCTACATATATGCACATATTAATCAACATGTGTTATTATTGTTATTATAATCATTAACATTACGATGGTTACCATTAACACTATTATAAATATCTGTACCATTTTTCATTTAGTCTATAGCAACATCACCTTCACTGTGTGTACCTCTGTGTGTATATTGTGTAGGCTGCCTCTCTCTCTCTCTCTCTCTCTCGCTCTCTCTCCCCTTCACCCCAACCGGTCGAGGCAGATGGCCGCCCACCCTGAGCCATGGTTCTGCTCGAGGTTTCTGCCTCTTAAAAGGAAGTTTTTCCTTGCCTCTGTCGCCTAGTGCTTGCTCTTGGTGGGAACTGTTGGGCTTCTGTAAATATCATCACAGAGTACGGTCTAGACCTGCTCTTTTATGAAAAGCGCTGTGAGATAACTGTTGTTGTGATTTGGCGCTATATAAATAAAATTGAATTGAATTGAACAAAGATACTATAATGAATAGCCATGGATGCGGAGAGGGACCCCAGAAAATTCCTATGTACAGGGTCCAGAATTTTGTGCCCTGAATATAAGTAAATGTAAATCATTTAGAATTTTATAAACTTCCTTCCATCCATCGTCAACCGCTTATCCTGCATACAGGGTCGCGAGGGGCTGGAGCCAATCCCTAGCATCGGGCAAAAAGGTGGGGTACATCCCAGACAGGTCGCCAGTCCATCGCAGGGCCACACATAAAATGAACCGCTCATGCTCACACCTAAGGACAATTTAGGGTCACCAATTAACGTAGGCTGCATGTCTTTGGACGGTGGGAGGGAGCCAGAGCACCCAGAGAGAGCCCACGCAGACACGGGGAGAACATGGTTCTCTAATTGGTTGAATAATTGGTAATTATTCAACCAAAGATGAAAGCTTAAATCATCAATCTGGGATTCTTTTGGAGAAAAAATGGAAAGTACTACTTGATCCTGTAAAAAACAAATATTAAAAAGAATATTGTAGTTTCATAAAAAGAGTGAACTTCAAAAAAGCTTAGTCATTATCGACCTATCAGTCTGCACTTTGGCAGATTTGAAAACTATTTTCATGGCTTTTCAACGGCTATAGAAAATGCTTTGAAAAAGTTCTGTCACATCTAGTGAGCTCAGTTAGATGGAAGAGATCACACATTACTACTGTGCTTAAGGCTCTTCATTGGCTTCCGATTGGTTTTAGAGTACATTTTAAAATTTTAACCATTACTTATAGAGCCTTGCATGGTCAAGCTCCCTCTTACATCGAGGATCTGTTGCATGCACACATTTCTGGTCGCTCTCTGAGGTCTTCAGGCCAACACCTTTTAACTTTTCCCAGAACACGTTATAAAACAATAGGTGATCGTGCTTTCTGTGTGGTGGCTCCAAGGCTCTGGAACGCTCTCCCTTTAGCCTTGAGAGCCTTGGATTCTGTGGAAACTTTTAGAAAACACCTTAAGACACATCTTTTTAGACAAGCTTTTAACTAGCCATATAGTTTTGTATTTTAAGTGTTGTTGTTTTTGTTTTATTTTATTCTATTTTTTACTGTGAAGCACTTTGTGACCCCCTCTTGTCTGTGAAGGGTGCTATATAAATAAAGTTTACTTACTTACTTACTTACTCACTCAGTTAATCATGTACACAGAACACACACATTACATGGCCTTGGTTCTGTTCAAACTGAATCAACAACATAATGCCGAGATTAGTTGTATCAGGAGACTGAAAGATAAACATGAACAGTGACTCAATAATGGGATAAAATGAAAATCAGGCTGCCAGACTTAATGATTGACCTGGAGTGAGCAACAAATCAAGACTGGATATAAAGTTTTTAGTTTTATATAGGCTGATCAGCAGTGAAATAAAAATGTACTAATACAACTATTCAAAGTGTGTAGATAACAAAGAATAAAACATAACTGTGTTTATGAATGACTTACTAATGTGTATTAATGTATGAATAATGCTTTATAACTGATGAATTCCTTATTTACTAATGCTTAACTAATGCTTTATAGTGTGTAGTTATTATAAAGTGCTACCAAATCAAATAAATATATAAATAATCTTTATATGTCATCCATGGAAAAATCTAACTCTTAATCCTTCAAAAGCCTGTCAGGTGGACAAATAACTGCAATGAATCTGTGGAGCTAATAAACTTTATCATGAACCAATGTCCACAATTATCCCCAAGCAATACGATTCTGTATTTTAAAATATTGTAGAGCACACAATCAATAGTATTTATCCTATCAATTGAATATAGACAAACAAATAGAAGAATAATTATATTTTGTCATGTCCACAGCAAAGTTGTTAACTGCATTTTCCTTAGCTGTCTAGCACATGTGCCCTTTAGCGCTTTCTGACCTCTTGGTATCCTAACTGCCTTGGACTTCTATCTTTTTAGATTCTGTCTTTGTCCCTCCCAGAGACCATAACCCAGACCTCTTCAAAGAGGAGAGAACTTGAGGAGGAATGTGAAACGCATTGTACGCTCAGAGATTTGTAAATTATGTACAACTGAATTTAAGTATGAATATTCCTGGTGCACGCTGGAATTCTTGTGCTTACACCTTTTTGTAAACTGTGTGATAAAAGTAAACTTTTGTTTATGTTTAGGCTAACTGCTTATCCTTAACCTTTCCTCCCATATGACGTGTGTGGGAGGCGACGCTCTCGCCCACAGCCCCCCGAGAAGACGGGCCTGAGGACCATCATTCAGTCTCGGCGGGCTCGGGGAAGAGGTCCTGAGGTTTCGAGCAGGGGGGCCCACCACCACCACCCCCCCGAGAGAGACTGACCGAGGTCCCCATCCCTCGTGGCGGCTCAGGCAACAGGCGCTGTTTTCCCGCCGTCTTGGCACTCGGGACACGCTAGCCGCCAGCGAGCTCTCACCAGTCTGCCCGCCTCGAGGGGTTGCAGCTTGAAAACGATCGGGCTCACACACCATGGGTGGCCGGCGAGTTTTCCCTGGCGGTCCACCGCTTCAGGGTGCCACCAGGGACCTACGCATAACACCGGCCACCAGCCCCTTGGCAGATTTTGTAGAAGCATGGCGGAGCCTTGCAAACATTTCCCTGTGGATCCTGCACACCGTAGTGGATGGCTACAGGCTGCAGTTCCGGGTCCACCCCCGCAGAAGTTAAACTTTTGTTTATGTTTAGGCTAACTGCTTATCACACAACCATAGTTCAGATGTAGATAGCAGTTCATTAAGTAATTTACATCTCATGGCAGTGGAATCGTCCCCACCGTAACCTTTCCTCCCACATGACGTGAACACAACATAACCACTAACCCTAACCATGGATGCACATTTTTTTGCCATTTTGTTCAAGATAGGAGGGAAACAAGCTTCAACCACACACTGACTGTTAAATAGTTCAGCCTTTTCAAACTAATTTACTATTGGCTTTGTCAGAGAGGGATACGCCAGTTTTTAAATATAGCAATTCCATAAAGCTGGCTGATGTACAGTCTCTCACAAAAGTGAGTAGACCTCACATTTTTGTAAATATTTGATTATATTTGATAATATTTGATTAAAGTAGGTGAGAGCAGGGGCGAAAGTGCCATTTTTCAGACCTGATTTTAAAAGATAATGTTTCAGACAGAGATATATGTTTGCTGTGGTCACTAACTCATAGGTGTGGTCTATCAATATCAGGTGGTATTTTCTACAAATGTAGAACGAATTCCGTATAATTGTGCTTTAAACATAAGTGGCACATTGTTACTTTCAACCCCGTCAGCTGGGACAAAAGTAACACACGGGTGGGTCAAAAGTAACACAACAATACAAGCTAGATTTTTTGTGTTACCACCCTATTTAATATTTTTATTTATGTATTTAATAAATCAACATGACTGTGACCTTGTTAATGTGTAACTGCAAACATCTTTAGTTTTAATCTTAAAAAAAAAGACGGCCGAAGACGGCCGCAGGAAACAATGACAAAATCATGCGATATTTGGCAGCTCCATCAAGGGTTGTATGCTGAAGGTGCTGTCACAGCTTGGACTGCAAATGCAGTCAGGGCTCTGAGAAAATCGCCTTGTTACTTTCGTTCCATGTTACTTTCGCCCTGGTTTACCCCAGTGTCTACAGTAATTAATTATTTATAATTGCCTACAAGAGCCAGTGTGATACACTATCACCTGTGAAGGAAAGTGTGGTGAGTGATGATGACATCTTGTTGGTTGAATCCAAGCTGGCCTGATTTCCAATTAGCCAAACAAAGTTTACTTACAATTCCAATACTTTTTTCCCAAAGATGCATAATCACAGAGGTTCACCACTGCATGTTTATAGTAGAGTGGAGTTTGTGGAGAAATGAAATATACATATCAAACCAGATACAAAGAATGGGACAAACTATATACCTAATTATCCTATAGAATACTTCTTCATTATAACAAAAAGGGAACTGTTAAAAGAAGATTATATCATACATACACAATATTCTACAAGAAGAACTGATGGATAACAGTCTTGACATCAAAGAAAAATGGGAACTAGAGATAAATTCCATCATTTCAAATAGAAAGTGGGAACTATCAGACAGGGACATGAAACAACACTAACAGTCCCTCGATGAGAAAGAACATCTCTCATTACATCAAAATCTGATAACATATTGATTCAGTGATGGAAGGGATGCGGCCTGATAGGAACTCACACACATATACTGCACTTTAAATTGCTATCTTAATAACTTTACAACAGATTAACATGCACTTTACAATATATATTGATATGTGATATGATTGTGGTGGATTGCATTGTTCTTACTATTGTCTGTTGTACCTTTCTCATGTTGACTGACCTGGCCCTGTCAGGATCGCTGGGTGCGCAAAGCAGGGGAGAGCCCAAACGCATGACACTGTGAGCTGAGATTGAGTTCCAGGGTTTATTAAGCATGACAAACAGAACTCCCGGGTACAGGAAACTGGTAACATCCAAGAGCAGCAACTTCATACTGTTGTATGAAGTTGCATACATGCGACAATGACCAGACAGGGAATGAACAGAAACACCAGACATTTATACACAAGGACTAACGAGCAGTGAGGGAGCAACACAGGTGACTGGGATCGAGGCAGAGAGACAGCAAAGAAAAACAGACACGCAGGCAGGC